CTTCTGCCTTCTTTGCTTGCTCCAAATAAAAGTGAGCTGCCTCCAAGCTGGCCGTTTTGTGCACTCTGTTATTAAAATTCCTCAACGGTTTGATGGTGCTAAGTATTATCCTCAGGGCTAAAAGCATGTGGTGTTAAGGTCTTAAGTCAGTGGATCCAGAAAATTTCCCTTTCATCCAAAGTACTTGAAAGAAGAGGCACCTCAGTTCCAGACGCAGACAAATCCGAGCATCTGTGGCATTTCCAGTTAAAATGTCAAGATTTCTGGTCAAGATGGCAGACTTGTGAACCCTGAAATGCATTTGCAGTTCTGTGATTGTTTTTTCCATGTGCTGTGTGATATATGCGCACATATAGATGTCACTTTATATCAGTTGATGGTATAAATGTGAGATGGAGGATGCATGTTTGTGGGCTTTCCATAGGTGACCAGTTGGCCGCCATGGGAGGAGAATGCTGGAGTATTCAGAATTTTGATCCTATCTAGGCACATCTTTATCTATACCTTCTTGTACGCATCATACATAATCGCAAAGGTGCTCCAAGATCCCTTTGCATACATCATAGACCAGGGGTAGGCAACCTTTCCCCTTTAAGGACCGAGGGACTTCAGCTCCCAGAAGCCTCAGCCATGTTGGCCAATAGTCCCATGTTGGCCAATAGCTCCTGGGATTCTGGGAGCTGAAGTCCCTCGGCCCTTCAAGGGGAAAGGTTGCCTACCCCGTCACAGACAGTTTGACCCTTATCAATTGGGTAGGCTAGGTAGTATGTTTGAAAAGTGAATGGGTGTACCAAATAGCTCTCCCTACTTTGCAAAAGCAGGAAAGAGATCTGAAAGGTGACTCATCAAGGCAGAGAAAGCCAAGGTATCAATACATCTCCCAAACAAGGTTCCTCCACCACCCGCTGTGGCCTCTGACACCCTCAAGATCTAGCGTCTCTCTCTTCCCCTGCATGGCAAATCTGCTTGTTCGTGTCTTCTCTTTTTTGGCATCTAAATAAATATTCCATGCGGAGACCAGCCTCCCCGTTCCCTCTTAATCTTCAGAGATGGGAGGCCCTCATTCTCTCTGCATGAATCAACCTTAACAGCTAACTGGATTAATACAGCTCTTTCAACCACTTAATGCAACGTTAGAACCGAAAACCAGGACGGTGTTGGGGAGGAAGGACATTTTGCAAGCTGGGTCTGTGATGGGGTGATGTTTTCATGTGAAAAATGAACAGTGCAAATGTTCACGTAAGACGACCCCCATGAACCTCATATTCATCACCTTCTTGCCCTATGGAGCACAGCCCCTCCACCCCAACTAATCTGATTTTATTAAGTCAGAATACACATATATCGTATGTCATCCACTTTCTTTCGGCTGCACCTACCTCACAGGGGTCTTGTGGGGATAACGTGGGTGTCTGCTAGGTAGAACCATGAAAGCCACCCTGAGCTACTTCATAGAAAAGTGAAGGGATCGATAAGTGTCATTTTTTGTTAAATAAGAACATAACTTGTCCTCTTCTCCCCTGCTTCCCGTAAAGTCTGATCTGACTTGGCCAGCCAGCTATAAAGCCTGGCGTGACTCAGCTAAGATGGCATCGATGGAAATGTCACACAGTGATGGAGAGGCAGAGTCCGCCGTTTAACCTTCTCCCTAAATGTTCTTGTGTTTTGAAATGAGGCCTTGGCATTTCAGTGCCGCGGCATTTCTCACGGGGGCTTGGAGCCATTCCTCAGCACATCCTTCCACCCAGGAGATGCGTGGAATAAATCTGTTTGATGCCACAGCAAAGGACTTTGTCCAAAGGAGACAACCGATGCCTGGCAGTTGGTTGCAGACAGAGTCGATGACTGTGAGTAAACCATGGAAAGGTTTTCCTGCTCCTTCTTGGTGGCTTCTCCTTTCTGCCACTTTCTGTTGACCCAAAAAGGATGGCATTACAGTGAAAACAAAAGGGAGGTGCCCAAGGAATCATCTCTTGGTAAGAAAGTACCTTCTGGGTTGCCTCATGGAAATCCAGCCCTCAGGAGCTTTGCATAGCTGTGCAGAGAAGCAGGATTTTCCTGTCTATCCAATCATTCCTCCCACTGTGCAAAAAAGTAGCTTTTTCACACTTATTCTCTCTTTTCCACAATAAATAGAGGCTCATCTGGTCTCTCTCCTTGTGTGAGTCATCTCTTGGCCAAACCCTGGAATTTTTTCTTTCTTTCTTTGGAACTACAACATCCTGGTAAAAGCCTGTTGATGTCTTATGCATAAGTTCCCCCACGGGGGCAGTTGGACATTTTTGTCTGATGCAGAAGGTCTGCATTTAGTTCAAGTTTGTGGAAGCAGAGTTGCACATGTGATGATGCCATGGTGCCCTCTCAGCCACGCCATCCTTATGCACAACTTTAAAAAGGCGTATTATGCTCCGCAGCCCTTTCCCAAAGTGCAACGGAGATGTATTATTCAGTTGTTTTCTCTCTTCCTCTCCTCTCTCTATGCTTGACTAAGCAGAAGACCTCAGTGCAGGCTTGCTTCCATATTGTCTTTTTTGTAGGGATGGGGGAAAATATTGTTCGGGCTCAGCATCTCAGCAAAAACATTTCTGCTGGTCCTGTGAGCTGTTGGAAAATGCACACCTCATGTTCTCACTTGCAATGATATCGGTGTGCAAATTTTAAAAATGTGGATGGCTGCAATGCGCAGAATTTTTTTAAAAACACTTTAGTCAGTGGGGGAAGTGAGGTGGACTGTGCCAATGAATGAACACACACACGAGGGTTAATGCATTAATGTGCACCAATTTCAGCCCAGGGAGGAACCCCAAAGGCCACCGTCGTCTTGATGGCTTATGCATGGCTGGGCACTTTTGTCTGATGCAGAACATCCGCATCCAATTCAGGGTTGCAGAAGTGGAGCTAGACATGTGCTGCCATTGCACATGGATACATATTTTGGGCTCCCCTGCCCTAAGATACATGGACAGCAGAAGAGACAACAGTAGTCATTTCCCATCCCTTATCCCTCTCCCTTTGCATTAACATTATGGCGGACTTAGATGTGTGTTTGTATACCCAGCAGATGGCTGCATGTACACAATAGTCTCCAGGCAGAAGGGGCCTGGACAGTGTCATTATTCATGGGGATGAAACCTCTGGAGGGTCTCTCTGAAGCCCCTCAGCCCCGCTGCCATCTTTTGAAGATGAGAGAGAGAAAGAATCCCATTAAGCGGTTTTGGTTATCTTGATCATGCAGAATGTTACGCTCCAGAAAACGTGATCAATCGACACTGGGGTGAGAGGAAAGGCAATATCCCCAATAGCATTCTTGAACCTACGAGCATAATAATAATAATAATAATAAATTTTATTTAATATCCCGCCCCTCTGAAACCAATCGAGGCGGCTTACAAATGATAAAAAATTACATCATATAAAATTCACACCCAATACCCACCCCCCTTAAAAAGATATTAAATCAAAAATTCAATTAAAACATCATATAAATAAAAACATCGTAACATCATCATCGCTCTTCCTTCCACAGATCTCTCTCCAAATGCTTTTTGCTTGCTTATTTGGCAGGAAAGGGCATGTTTGCCCCCGTTTTAAGACCATATGCTAGTAGAGGCAGCTGTGTTGGCATCAGTTTTTCCTTATCACAATAGAGGCAGCCTGTGTTGTAGGGACAAGACAGAAAAAAGCCAGAATCCTGTGGGTCTCTTATGCATCTGTAAGTTCATGCTTCTGGGAGTGGCAGTCCAAAAAAAAACCTTTTCTCATCCTTTGCAAGTTCCATCTTGCAGCATTTGAGGAAAAGGGACCAAGGTCAGATCTTGTGGGTGGACATGCCAAGGACTACTGAAGAATAAAGCATTAAAAATGTCTGGAAGTCCACTTCTGGTTGTCAGAAATTAGTGGGGGGATTTAATATTAAAAGGTACAGGAAATAATAATAATAATAATAATAATAATAATAATAATAATA